TGCTGCTGCTGCTGCTTGTCGCCGCCCGGGCCGCCCGGGCCGCCCTGGCCGCCGGCCGCCGTCTGGGCCGGGGTGCTGGCCGGGCCCCCCTGGCCGGGCGTCTGCGGCGTGTGCGGGGCGCCGGGCGGCGGGCCGGGCACGGGCGGCGGCTGCGAGGCCTGGCTGCCCTGCGAGCCGGGCACCTCGTCCTGGGGGTCGCGCCACGTGCTGACTACCATTGCCATATCTATGGGGGCCGCGTCCGGACTTCCTGCTCCCCTGGCTGCGGGCGGCGGCGCCTCCCGGGACCCGGGCTCCGGCGCGCCGCCTTTTGTGTGCGCGAGGGTGCGCGAGGGCGCGGGAGGGCGCCCCGGGTGGCTCGGGGGCTGGTTGGTTGAGGTTGGTTAGTTTTTCCTTTTTTGTTTCTGCTTTTGCAAAGTTTTGTCGCCGGCTCGTCGGGCCCGGTGTGTTTGTTTTGTTTGATTCCCTTGGCTCAGCGTGGCTGGTTTCGGGGGGCTCTCCGCCGGGAGGGGAAGGGAAGGGGTCGGGGGAGCGCGAGCGGGAGCGGAGCGTGGAGAGAGGGAGGGGAGGTAGAGCTGCAAGTCGATTGTCTGGCTTCAAGACAGAAGTAGGAGGCAGCAAAAAAAAAAAAAAACCTCTCCCAAGATCTCGCTCGCGCTCACTCCCTCCCTCTCGCTCGCGCCCTCGCCCTAGAGCGGGTGTGCAGCCGCGGAGTCGCAGCAGCAGCAGCAGCAGCAGCAGCAGCAGCAGCAGCAGCAGCAGCAGCAGCAGCAGCAGCAGCAGGAGGAGGAGGTCGAGGAGCAGAGGCGACCGTCCGGGGGCCAAGTCCAGGGCAGCGCACAGTCAGCCATTCAGGAAAGCCATGGAGACCAGGAGGACTCGGGGCGCGGAGGCGCCGCGCGCGGGTGCGCCCGGAGAGCCGGGCAGGCCGGGGCGGAGGCCGGCGGCCCGCGGGGTGGCCGGAGCGCTGCCCGGGTCCGGGGGAATCAGCATGAAAGTGGTCCGCGTCGGGCGCTGCGCGGCGTCGTCCTGGCGCTGGGCCGCTGCTGCTGCCGCCGCCTGCCCGGGGGCGCCCGGCGCGCGCCTGGCCCGCTCCGGCCGCCGCCGCGCGCCTTCGCCGGATGGAGGCCGCTCGCCGCTCCCCGCGGGCCGCCGGGGCCGGAGCCGCCGCCGGAGCCGGAGCCGCCGCCGGAGCCGCCGCCGGGTCGGGCCCGGAGTCGCCGCGTCTAGCGCCGCCGCCGCCGCTGGAGCCGCCGCTGGAGCCGCTGGAGCCGCCGCCGGAGCCGCTGGAGCTGCAGGCGCCGCCGCCTCACACACATAGGGAAAGAGTCAACTCGCCGGCGGCGGGGGAGAAATGATAAAAGAGAGAGGAGCGCGGATCACCACCTAGAAGCACATCCTCCGTGCGCGCAGGGGGAGGAACTCGGAGAGGAAGAGTCGGGGAGCGGGGAAGGCGGCTCGGCGCCCGGAGAAAGGAGGCAACTCGGGGAGAGGAGGAGGAGCAGCGGGGCACACACGCGCGCACGCACACACACACCGCGGAGAGAAAAGAACAGAGAATCAAAGTGATCAAATATGCTAAAAAGGGGGGCGCGGGAGGGAATGCGATTTATAGGCGCCGGGGCTGGCAGAAGTGGCTTCTCCGCGATCAGCTCACTGAGCTCTCTATATAGTGAACTTTGACACGACTGCTGCAACTTAGCGCACGTTGCCATGGCGACGGCGCGCCTTATAAGGCAGCAGCCGGGGTTGGCCTGGCCAGGCGCGCGCGCGCCGCCCCCTCGCCGTCATTGGCCGGAGCGCCATGGCGGCCGCGGGCGCAGCCCGGTCCTAGCGCGAGCGGCGTCGCGGCCGCGGCGCGGGGCGCGCGAGGGGCGAGGTGGAGGGGAGGGGAGGGGGGGGGGGGCGGGGGGCCGGCCGGGCCGCCGCCGCCGAGCGGGGGATGGGCGCGTGCCACGGCCCCGGGCGCGCAGCCCCCCGCGCTCTCTCCGGCGCGCCCCGCGCCCGAGCTTTGCGCCCCGGCGGGGAGAGGAACGCGGCGCGCACACACGACGCCTCTTAAAGGCTCCGCGAGAGGCTCGGGGTGGAAGCCAAGACTCTGCCTTGCGCAACTTGGCGATGCCACGAAAGCCGCCGCCGCTCGCTCGCTCGCGCACCACCCGGGACGCCCCGCGCATCCCTGTGCCCGCGGTGCCAGGGCGGGAGAAAAGTTCCCCCGGGGTCTCCGCAAGAGGGGTCGGGGGTGGGGGCGGGACCGTGCCGTTGATGGAGCGCGCCCGCAGGATCCCGACCAACGATTTGGCCAAATCCGGGTGATGGTGGACCCTTCTCTTGACTCTGACCACTCGCTTGGGTTGGTGGCTCTTATTATTTACTTTTTTTTTTTTCTCTCCCCTTTTACAGGGGGGAAAAAAGTCCTTCCGTGTCTGTCTTTTTCCTTTTAGGGTTAACACTTCGCAGGTATGTGGCCTGACATTTTAATTGCTCAAATAAAGCATCTCGGATGCTGAGAAGCAGACGGAGGCTTCAGCTCATTGTCAGGACGCAATTCAGATCCGTTTTCCTCAACTTTAGCCTCGCACGTTGGTGGTGGCTCACTCGAAAGCCCACGTCCTGCCACACACACCCAGCCATGGCGAGAGGGGCAACGACCCCTCTGCCCGCTGATGGACAAGCGGAGGCCGCCTCCCAACCTCCCCTGTGCCTGCCCTCTGTACACACATGTAAGCGCACATGTATCAGATGCGCATTTGTCAATGTACACAGACAAAGACTTCAGCGACTATGCTTCTAGGTCATAGAACAGTTGAGTATGGACTTCATTGTTCCTCAAGTTCTTTTTAAGCATTCATATAGTCATTAAAGCACACCCAGAGATCCTGCCCCAAACTGGAAATAATGCCAGTACGACTCCCAAGAACCAAACACACCAGCCACAGTCTACTTGAGAAATCCTATGCAATAGCAGCAACTTCACAGCCTGTGCTATTCTGCTCAGGGGGCTAAAATCATCCCCACGAGTAGTGTTTTCCGAATTCCGGGGTGTTTGGTTTTAAACATCAAACGTCCAGAATATACAGCGCCCCCAGACCCCCTCCACCAAGACGCTCTATTCCAACGAAGTGATCTTTCTGTTGGATGATGACAACAACTTAGTGGATTGTGATTATCCCACATCTATAGAAGAAATCTGTGACTCCGTCACACACACACTGCACCAAGAAAAAACTGAACTGGCGAGCCATGCAGGTTTATGAACAATTAAAATATTTTACAGCAAACACGCAGAACTACAGGAAATATGGCCACATGTAAAGAGCAAATTGTCGACCACAGGAAAGCATCCTTGATAGTTTAAAAAAATAATCGACGGAGACGAGGGATTAAGAAACAGCCATTTGTGCAACTGACATGTGTAGATTGCACTTTGCATTGAGTACCCTTTACACAGACACAGGCAGAATACAAGGTAGGGACTAGGTGAAGGTGTGGGCAGGTCTTTAGGGAAGGAAAAATCCTCTTTATGTTTTATCCTTGAAACCCGCGACCCTCTTAGCCCTCAACTCTTTTCCCACTGAAATCACATATTTCACCAAAGCTGCAGGTGCGGGGATTATTTGAAAGTTGTAAAAACAATCAAACAAACAAACAAAAAACCTACAGTAGACACTGAACTTCATAAACCTGGTGTGTAATGAGATTGCTACAGAGCGAAGCCAAGCTGAGGATTTCAAGTTGATGAAAGACACAATATAACTTTCTTCTAAAGAGGACAAGAAGGATGGAAAAGAAATCATTTCAGATAAGGTTTTGTTTCCCCACCACCACCACCACTATGCATGGAGGAATTGCATAATATCACAAATGTCAGTAGATGAGAGGAAAACTCAGCAGAGAGGTGGTGGGGCCAGGGTTGAGATAGGAAATCTAATGTCCATTCCGATCTCAACTTAATAGAAAATGGGAATAATTGATTATAGGGAAATCTTAATCTTGCCCCTGGAGTGCAGACACTTCCATAATAGGATCACCTTTTATAAACATGCAAAGTGAAAATTTTGAGGATCAAGAGCTTCCTCGGTCCATGATTTTTTTGGTGTTTCAAGGACGCTCTGATGGCCTCAGATTTAAAATGAATTTCCCAGTCATCTCCACCAGAACTGTTGCCTGCTAGGCACTAGGCACAAGACCACATCGTGTACCACGAAGCCAGAGGTGTCTGGCTCCTTTAGGACTCATTCAGTTATGGGGATGCTATTCAAGAGAAAAAAAAAAAAAACACCTGTATACATGGTATTTAATTTTTACTGCACTGAGGAAGACAGAGGACTACAGACTGAGGGAAAAAAAAAGTGTGTGTGTGTGTGTGTGTGTGTGTGAAACATTTTTAAATGTCTTCTTCAGGGATGCTCACTTCCCTTGAATAAAACAACTCTTAAGACTAAAAGATAAATACCAGCATGTTGTTACTGTTTTTTTTTTTTTAAACCCAGCCCAGTCTTTTATTGCAGATGTAAATTTATTTTAATGAGAGGAATGGCAAGCTTTAATTTGGCCCGAGAAAGTTGGATAAACATTTGTCTTACTCTGGGAAAAAAAAAAAAAAGGGGGGGAGGTGAAGAAAAAGAAAACCCACCCAGGAATATGATTTTCTTGCAGAAAGTGTCCTGATGGCTGTAATTCTTCACAGATTAAATCACAATATGAATACAGACCCCAGCAAACGCCGAGTTTAACTCTGAACTCAGTAGAAACCAGTTCTGTCCTCCAGGATTCATTGAATTCCACTTTCCCCCCAATCTAGTCCGTGTGTGTTTTTCTCTTCCACCACACTGGAGCTCCATGAATAGGCAAAGGGGCTTCCATTGTGTCCTTCTGAACTTCCAAGTCAATGCAATTTTTAACCACTGGCTTGTGGTACTTTGAAAATCACCAGGGGCTGTCAGAGTTGGGTCCTCTGAAAAATTTACAGTGCTAAATCACAGCATATGCTGGGAGGGAAAAAATTACTTAAGATTGGAGCAAGTACAGTATCTGTCTGCCCCCTAGTGTAAGAGTCCTCGCTGCCTAAAAATGCAACTTTAAAAGAAAAGGACCTCTTAAAGGGAAACGACTTTGGGCTCACGTAGGCAAAGGAGAATGAAACTTCTGTACATTTTAATCCGAATCATTCTCCAGGATTTAAAATTAATTGGCTCTGGCTTGGTTGGACCGGCCTCGCATCTCGCCACCTCTGCGCTTCCCGAGTCACTGGCTGGGAGCTGATGAATTTTTTTTTTTTTTTTTTTTTTTTTTTTTTTTGTGAACTGGGTTTATGTGAGTCCCCCCTCACCCCCTCCTCTGCTCTTTTTTTTCTTTCTCTGTCTCTGTCGTCTCTCTCGCTGGCTTTTTAAAAATGAGGACCCGTTCCCTGAGCGTTCTGGACAGAGCAAAGCATTGCTTCCAAAGTCAGCCCGCCGCGGTGGCAATAGACAGCCCCAAGGTACAGGTTTGCCTGCGAGCCGCGCGCCAGCTCCACCGCCCCGCCCGATGGTGAGTACCCTTCGGCTTGCGGTTCTCCTCCTAGCTTAGCCGGGCGCTCGCCTCCCCGAGCCGCGGCCGAGGGCGCCGGGCACAGCTTTTTCCTCCCGCCTGGCTGACTGTCAACTGCACAAGGTTGCAAAATGAAGCGCAGAGGCAAATCGCACCGTAAATTCTGCTACTTAGGGCGAGCCTAGCATCTCCTTTGCGAGCCAAGCGAGTCGTCTGTGGCTTGCAAAAAAAAAAAAAAAAAAAAAAAAAAACACGCTTCTAGCACCGGTTTTTAGTTTTGCTCTATGGAAGGAAATGAGTTTGAGGAGATGAGGAGACAGGAGGAAAGAGCTGGGAGGCTCCGCAGTCTTTTACGCTTCGGTTTAATCATATTTTGGCAGCTTCGCAATGGTCTTTTCCTCCGCTCCCCCCACCCCCCTCCGGCACCTCTCCTACCACACACATGTAATAAAACATGGCAATGCATTGAATGGACGCTCTCCCCACCCCAGCCCCACTTCCCCGAGCCCCCTAAAACCACAGTCCTAGGCATTTCATACACGGTAGCAAAGCGAAATTTTGAAAATCCCCAAGTCATCCCCAGCCCCACACAGCACAAGGACAAAAGTGAGACAGGAGAGAGAAGAGAGAAAAAATACTGTAAGTAAACATACCAAAACCATATTTGCCTTGTTCAAGGTCCCACACCGCTTGCATCTTCCTTCTAAACTGGAATAACTCTCCTTTAGTTTGGCGGGTGAAATACACGCTTTGTTGGCCCCCTGAAAAGATATGTCTTTGATAATTAAAGAGGATCTCCTCCTCGGGGTTTATCTAAGCGATTGTGCAAACTGATAAAAAGTAGGCACTAGCCTGCAGGGGAAAAGCGGAAAGGTGTAGGGAGAGATCTTCCACCTCAGGGAAGTGCTTCCCCATGTATTAGGCGCTCTCAGGCTTGGAAAAACCCTGCACGCTAACTTTAGAGAGACAGACGAGGTTTCAGGGAGCTGTGTACATAGCTGCTGAGGAATGCAAGCCTCGCCTTTAAGAAAAAAACCCCCAAACCGTAGGTAGGAGATGTCTGGAGTGATCCTTGTCTCTCATCTCATTCCTTAGAAGGAAGAGCGCGTTGTTACACCTTGTTTGGGGCTGGAAAGACGAGACTTTAAAAACACCCGTCCAATTGAAAAAAATCTCCCAACTTAATGAGTTTAGTCGGAGGCTGGAGCAAACGGCTCAGCCTCAGCAAAAAAAAAAAAAAAAAAAAAAAAAAAAAAAAAAAAAAACCGCCAACAACTATAGGCGATATTGCAAAGCAAGACGACCAGAGGCACAGCCAAATTCCACTGTTTGGGGTCGAGAGGGATGGAGGCTAATCCTAAAGCAAGTTGGAAAAAAACAGAGGTGGGAGTGGAGGGGGGAAAAAGCAGCAGCCTCGCAGACTGGCAGGCAGACTCCCCTCACCCCGGATCAAAGATAGAACTTGGAACAGGAGGGCAACATTTTCCTAGGAATCTGTGGGATTCCTCATTTTCTACTTTTAACTCAGGACCCCCCCCCCAACTCCCCAACCAAGTGATTTTTTCCCTCTCCCCTGCAGACTTGTGATTCTCCCCCCACCCCCACCTTCCTCTGTCCCTATTCTAGAACTTTCCTGGGGAGGAACCTATTTCTTTTGGGGGGAGGGGTTCCCCATTTCATGTCTTCAGATAATGAATGCTGAATTCACCCCCTCCCTTCATCCACTCCCCAAAACAAATAAAGGAAGCAGAAATACAGTAACCAGCGAAAAATTGAGAATAAACTAGGCTGCCTCTCGCAGTTTAATACAGTTTTAACTAATGGATTTTTTTTTGTTTTGTTTTGTTTTAAGAGAAGAATAATGGGAAAACACGGATCTTTTATTTTAGGAAACTGTTATGGTAAGATGTATGTCAGACTTGACAAATGGAACTAACGCTCTTCGGCTGCTTCTTGTCCTTGTCTTAAACAGGAATTAAGTTAAACACAGTGCTGAATGTTAATTACATGTTTACTGGCTAATGAAAATTACAAATGGTTTTGCCACCTCAAACAATGATGAAAACTCTGAAGACACTGTAATTATATACTTTGAGGGAAATAACTCAGAATATTGATCATAAGAAGTGTAAATCTTTTTTTAACTATTCATTAATACCATAAATATGGGCTACAGAAGTTTTTCCTTGCGGTTTGTCTCATCAGTTACCCTGAGTAGATGGATGTTAAGGCTCCTCTGGGGAGGTGGTGAACTCATTCTCCCAGGAGAAGGAGGTGACTTGTGTAACTTGGGGGTGCCCCCCTCCCAGCCACCCCCACCCCCTTTAGCCCCAGCAGAAGGTTGAGGGGTGGTGGAACAGGGGGGGCTGGGCTCAGGGCAGGTGAAGGTGATCACAGCCAGTCTCTTGCCCCTCCCTTCCCCTGCCCTCTCTCCCCGTCTCCCTGCCAGGTCTGATGGATGACCGCCTTCCCCAGCCTGGGCGCCTGGCAGATAACCTGGCATTCAGGGCTCCTAATGGAGGACAACTCACCGCACCCCAAGTGACGCAGCCCTGCCTGACAACTGAAGTTCCCTCCTTTAGAGGTGGCTAGGGCAGTTCGTTGCAAGAGAAGGAGAAAAGTTGAGAATGGAGGTGGTTACTTGGGGAAGGTGGCTCAGGCTGCTGAACCAGAACTGGTTTCCCTGGGTTTTGGGGGCACAGAAATGTTTTGTTTTGTTTCGTTTTGCTTTAACTTGGGGTTAAAGACTTGCAGCTCTGCACTCTGCAGAGTGGCATTCACTCCGATCCTGGGGGTCAAAGGTGAGGGCTGTACTAACCCTAAAAGCCCGGTCTGGTCTGGTCTGGCCTTGCCAGAAGGCCAGGCCAGGAAGAGTGGTGAATTGTCAGCCACACTGCCTGGAGCTTCTAAGGGGGTGCCTACGAAACCCGCTTGCGGGGCACACTCGGCACCAAGATGGGGGGTTTTTTAAGTGCAATATTGAGGATTTTAAAAAAGTGCCATAGACTTGTGGGATTGGAGCCCTCTTTTCCCCTGAGAATTCCCAAGGCTCCGGTCTTTGTCTTAGAAGGAATGGAGTTTCTGAATGGTGTGAAAGGGACAGAGAGGGTCGCTTCAAATCGATTTTACTTGTCCTTTCTGTCTTTTCGGATCAACGCCCTTCAATGGGCACAGAGGTGCTCTTTCAACCAAAAACTTGTGCTACATTTTCTGCCTGTATTGGTGCTAAATACAATAAGCACTGGGCAGATTTTTTCCCCCCTTCGCTCGCCAAAGCAAGAAAGCACCCTAATTAAATTGTTTGATATGGACAGTCAAGACGGACCAATTAAGTATGCATTAATATAAAGATAGAGTCTGCAGATAAGGCGGTTTAGAAAATCAGGCGTAGGACAAAGGCGAGGGCGCGAGCCTCGAGGAGGGGTATGTGGACTCGGCAAGGTCATTCACCTTCCTCCCTGGGCCCCGGGCTATTGCAGAGGCCGGAGCCCCAGGTGAGAGGGGAGCGAGCCGGCTAACAGGTGGCGACAGGGCTGGAGTTTTTCAGGCCCGCGCCCTCGGCCGTAGAGCGGCGGCGCCCCGGGGATTGGTGTCCCTCCCGTCCTGCTTCGGGGACCCCGCAGCCGTCCCGAGGTGGCAGGGCCTGGAGGAGGGGACGGGAGCGTGTCGTGCCCACCCCGCCTCGGCTCCTCGCCTGGAGTCTAGGTCCAGGGCCCGGCCTCGCCATCTGGAAAGAGCGCGCGCCCAGGGGAGACTCGGAGGGCCCGGGGGCACCGACTCTGTCACCGGCGCGGCCGCAACTGCCTGGCAGTCAAGATCAGGGTAGGAGGCCCCCCTTCGAGACCCCTCCCGGCTCCCCGCTGTTTCGCTTCTGAGGAAACGGGAGCGTCTCTGCGAGCCAAGCAAAGTTCCCACCCGACGCCGCCCGGCCCTAGGGGCGTCGAGACTCGGTGGCAGAAATGGGGGAATGGCCGAGGCCGGAGGAAAGGGCGCGAGCGAGGAGCTTGGCGCCCAGTTCGGCGGCCGCAGGCGGCTCGGGGCTTCTCCAACCCCTCTCGGCCCTCGGAGGTGTGGGCGGGCGGAGGGCCTCTGGCCCCGAAGGCGGCGACCCCCGACCGCGGGGCCCGGCCCTCCGCGCGTCCCGGCGCGGGGCTGTGCGAGGGGGTCCCCGGGCCGCTGGGGCGCGAGCGCGGCGCGCTGCTGGCAGGGAGGGCGCGCGGGGCGCACGGGGCGCCCCGGGGCAGGAGCCGAGTGTGCGCGGGGTGGGGGGGGGACGCAGGGCTGAGAACCAGAGCCCGGGGAGGTGGCTGAATGTCAAAAGCAAAAAGGTTGAAAAGCCCATTTTCCTGGCGCGCTTTCGCCCCCCTTGGCTGGTAGCAGAGGCTGTAAATCAGCGGCCGGCGGCGAGGGCGGGAGGAGCCCCCTTGGCGGGCTCGGCTCGGCCCCACCCGGGCCGTGAGCACCTCCCGGTGGGCCCCTCATCGATCCACAGCCTCGCTGAGGATGTCACCGCACTAAATATTTACTGATCACACACAAATAGCCGGGGCTCGAACGATTTTCCTCTGTGAGGAGAGCGCAGAGAGAAGGGTAAATCATTTTATTAGTGTGGATAAAGCCCAGAGCACACTCCGGGCTGGAGTGTTTTAAGATGTGTCTTCAACGGGATGAAAAGAGTTAGGGAAATCGATACCGAGTGATTAGAAGCCCCCGGGGTGACCGAGGGGGCCGGGGCTTTCAGGGATTTGGCGAGGCTGGGGGTGGGGTGGGAGCCGGCCTCGCGGGGGGCGGCAGGACCACCGCCGGGGCGCGCCGGGGCGCAGGCCTCGGTCCCTCCCTCCTCGACGGGAGCGGAGTCCGCCGCGGCCGGGCGGCGCTGGGCCGAAGCGGGGCGCGGGCGGAGAGCCGCGGGCTGGAGAGCCACGGGTCCCCGCCGCCAGGGGCCCTGGCCAGGCCGCGGCCGCAGGTCCGGAGCGGGGCCGCCGCTTGTCCCCCACGGC